GCGAAGTAGTTCAAGTGAATGAATAGTCTTATTTTAGTAGGTTCTGAAGCGCTTTCTGTTCAGACAATGAGGTAATAGTGGTCACCAAGAAATGTAAAATATTTATCAGAAACATGATCAGAATAAAGGTTTCTAGATCTTAAAATAACCCAGCTTAGATAAAGTACATACCTTATACCTAGCAAAGTACAAAACAAAATCTGATGGGAATATTTAAGGATATTATAAATGGTATTAAATACAATAACTGAATATTGAGCAATACCTTTCTTTTATCTTTGTTATAACATACCAAACACAATTCACACTAACCAACCCGTAAATTTTAAACAAATCTAAGTAGAAAGACTAAAGTAAAAGAAGTATGAAAGGATATGAATATGAGATTCGCATAAGAGGTGGCTTATGATTACGATTTGGTTTCAATATTTTCACACCAATTTGGTTTTCTGTCTATCGCTCATTACACTGGTTAGAACTATGATGACTGGTGATGACATTAACCCAGTTATCAGAGGGATTTCTGTATTCATTTTATGTTCGTAATAGAACAGTAAACTTAATGAATTTCGGATTTGATCAAGAGATGACGTCAGTCAGAGAACCTTCGGTGGCACAGTGGTTAGGACTCTCGCCGACCACGCACATGGTCCGGGGTTCGAGCCCACGCCGGCGCACACCTGATATCTATGGTCGGCCTGCAAAATTTGGGCTTCCGATATCCATGCTGAAAATTCCATACTTGTTTCAAAAATACAGTGTGGAATCAAGCTGTAAATCGAAAAAATAACCAGATTTGGATTAAGGGACATCTGTTTCGTCTCACTTCTGTATTCTTCAGCAACACACGCTCACTGGAATAGGAAGGTAGGAATTTCCGTTTACATGGCGAGCTGGTAAACAATTCAGCTACTGCAGGCCGACCCAACGGCCTTTGAATTCCAACTTCCGCTAATTCGTGATATATGTAGCGTGACCGCTAGCCAGTGTCATAGGCGGGTAACTTATCCTTCACCTGAAGACTATCAGAGTAGGACGAAACAGATGCCCGGTATTGGCAGATTTTCCAATTGTTGTGTAACTGATGTCAAGTCGTGATCAAACCTCTGACCAATCAAATCCCTTCAAACTAACACTTGATAAATAAAATGCTGTCAATCGATCATTGAGCAACAAAAGGTGGAAATGTCTTACAGGTCAAGTTCAGATAGATAAAGAGCCATGGAAGTGGGAAATTAAAAACTGAGATTATAATAAATTATGCTTCAGTTAAGTCGTTATAGTAGAAAACTAGTTACTAGAGAGGGAACCTGAAAGTGATAATAACTGCAAAATGAACAACAATAATAATATGAACGCTACTCACAACACCTAAGCCTAATCGAGTCATGAATAATAATGATCAGAGAAGGGATAAGATTGAATAGTAATAATAACAGTTAAGAAGTAAAAAAGATGACCATGCTCCTTATCTAGAGATTGGGTTTATAAACTACAGATGCTCAAGCCCCGGCAACCGTTTGTTGATAACAGTGAATGCCTTGACAGCTTTATTATCGAAATGCCAGGTACCTTAGCTTCAGTTTTCTTTACAACTAATCGGACAAATGCTCCATCATGTGAGTAGACAATCGCCTTTGTTGACAATCTATACATCTGCTTCGATAAATACACTCAAATTGATATACACAGTTAAGCGTATCGAAGATTATCCACTTGTCTTTCATAGATTATCGTAGCGCCTGTTTTATGGTATTGAGGAATACATACTTTACTGCATAATAGATCCATCTAAAAGCTTTACTAAGTCTTCGTCCAACTAGTTCTTGTGAATCATCTACTTTAAGTGGCGAATGATATATACAGCCTATTTGTGAAATGGTTCACATAGTTTTACTGGCTATTATTTCCTCAAGGCACCTATGGATAAAACTGTCAGAACATCCATTCTTAGATTTAAAAAACCTTCAGGGTCTTGACTGAACTTTCAAAATAGATTTTCCATCCTCCATTGAACAATATTCTAAAGAGAGTTTTTATGGTGAATGGAAGTGAAGCAGATAACGTGTATCTGCTGCCCCGTCAATAAGGAATTCCTAACTCTTCTTGCTTTCTATTTTCATTTTCATGTGAAAATGGCATAGGTTGAATTTCATCAATACCATTTCTCCACCTCCGATTTATTTCACCTGAAATCTCGATGAATTTATTAATTCCTGCCCTATTGTGACAAATTTTCATGTTTATTCTATATTACACACAGGCAGTTATTTGGATGTTGTTGTGTTCTCTGAGCTGGATAGTTAATTTGCGAAGCTTTCACCGCCCTACTAGGCGACATCTTCAGCGAATACTTCAATTTGTTGAAGTGAGCTCTCAGATTTCTTCATGAGTTTGCAAACCATCTCTCCTGTTGACCATGGACGTGATTGGTTGTTTTTGTGTGTTTTCACACCTTCTAGGCGGCTACTTGTATCGAAACTGATTGTTTCTTTGACTTGAACTTTGACCCTTTGTGTGTGAGGTTTCTTTCTTATCGGTGGATAAATTTTGTCTATTTCAATGTGTTTATTGATTGATGATTCAGTGGAATACCAGGCAGGCTTCTAAAAATTTTCTAGCATTCTAGCTAGTGATATTACTACATACCAGGTGAGATGAGTAATAAACTCGTGGAAAAATCTAAAAGTTCACTTCAAATTGAAGTATGTGCTGAAGATATCGTCTATTAGGGCGATGAAAGCTTCACAAGTTAGCTATCCAGCTTAGAGAACACAACGACATCAAGATCATCCTCCTGAGCTACAAATCTTCGGCACCATATCTACAGGCAGTAAAACAAGCATAACATTAATTGTGTCCCGTCAGCTTTATTGATTTTTAGTTTTTGAATATCCAGACCATATCATCGAGCAGAATACGTATCGTTAAATAGATAATTATGATTTTCACTGATTTAGTAAATGGTATATACAATAACCAACATCTGTTGAAGAAACACGATGGATTAACCAATTTACACGTGATTTGAAGTCACGTATGAGTGCGCCAGTCATTGTGTTAAATGATGTAATTCTGTGTTATTAGAGAGGTTGACGATATTAACTATTCCGGTGACAACAGCTTAAATGAAGAATTGAATTTTTGACTTTCCCGTCGATTGATTGGACCGAAGTGCTCGGTCTCAGGTTGACATGTCGGCTTCTTGAGCAGATGCTTCGACGATGTCTGGGGATTTGATTTGTATACAATTGGTGGATGGTGGCTAGCAGTGGAATCCAGGATGCACATTTCGTCCTATTTGTGACTCGTCATCTGGATGTACCTGCATTTCTCAGTGAGTGATGATGTCTCCACCGAGGCTCAAACCCAGTGCCTAGAGTTTCAAACGTTTGTTGTTTCAAACGCTTTGGCGTTTGAAACTATGGGTACTGGGTTCGAGCTTCGGTGGGAACATCATCACTCACTGAGAAATGCAGGTACATCCAGATGACGAGTCACAAATAGGACGAAATGCGCATCCTGGATTCCACTGCTAGCCACCATCCACCAATTGTATACAAGCTTAAATGAAGCATTATTATTATTGTTCACTTGGGTTCCAAGTGGAACACAGGGCTTCATCAGCACATCTCCACTTTGTTTTATTCTATACGGTCTTTTTTTACCTAGTCCCAAGATTGACCATAGTCTCTCACCTCCTCCTCATAATAACTTCTCCACTTCACCCTCGCGTCCACATGCAACTCGTTGTTTACCATTCATGTTCCACTCGTGGTAATGTCAAGCGCCCGATTTCATTCAACCGTCTTCCCGGTAATTATCTGATCCATGTTCATTTTATTCGGCACATGTGTTGAGCAATAAGAACTGACAAGTTCGTTCACCGAGTTTCCAGTTGCTAATCCTTTCTGGTTAGCTATCTGATCTTCACTATTATACCAGGGAAGCCAACTGCTGGTAAGGATTCTAGTAGCCTGTTGAAAATACTTTTTGTGAAGTGCTAGGTTTATGACCCATATGGAAGGACTGAATGACTTAACACTCTAGTGTTAAAGATCAGAATTCACTTATTCATGCTTAGTGTAAAAAATTTGCAGACTGGTTTCAGAGCGATGATTGTCTGCTTTGCATTTTCGATGCTTGCTTCGATATCCTCAAATACGGTATGAATCATGTGAAATATTTCTGCAATATAGCCCTATTATACATTGATTTTGTTGAAAAGTAACCGATATCCCACTGTTTCTCCGGGGTGGCTGATGTGTAGGTCATCGTGTTTTCATCCCTCTCAAAAAGGCATCATTAAAGAGGATATCGATTTTACTAGAGAACTTTTCGGTATTCGCTTCTGAATCACTTTCACGATCTACTGATTGTTTTTAACTCTACTCATTTTCTATCCATCCATGAAACTAATCAGTGTTTCGTGACTAACATTCACTTACTTAGAGTTTCATGTGCTGGATGAGAAAGTTTTTCCATGTTTCAGACCATGAGGTCTTATGATAATATCCAGTTGCGTAGACTGAAGCAGATGGGACTCACTAGCTAAGAGCTAAGCGGCTTTTTATTCCGTCACTTTCCCAGTGGAACATAGGACTTCAAGCTAGTGGCTTGAAGTTTCTGTAGCAGTGGTGTTTATTTTAACAGTATGGGGTTGTTAGCCTCATGCTCAACCTTTTCTCTTTACCAGCTTTATTTCTGGCTTAGTGAGGTAAAGCAGTGCGTTGTCGGACGGGGATCGAGCCCCGGACCATGTGGATGGTCTGCAAGCGTTCTAAACTTTGTGCCACCAACGCATTTGGTGGTACACCACCGGGCCAAGTGGTTAAGTCGATAAACTGTTTCTCCATAGTTTAATGTACATACATAATATTTATATGTTATCATACCTAATATGATGATATTTATGTCTAGTAGTTACATTCGTTTGTTGCTGAAAGTGATGCACTTCAACTTGATTTCTTATGTCGATTGTTTTTACATTTTGTTTATAGTGTTCGTAAACTGCTTAAAGTTGCAATTATGGAGAATGATTTCATGAATCATATTGCATCGACTCAGTTAACTGAACTTATTGATTGTATGTACAGTATCGACTTCACAACTGATGAAATGATTATCAATGAGGGGGATTTTGGTTCATTGGTGTATGTTTTAGCAGGTGAGTTGAATTTGTTTGTTGTTATTGTTATTGTTTTCCTTCATTGTTATGCGTAATTATCATAAATGATTTGTAAATATTTACTTATACTATGCTGGTGTGCGTGTGTGTGTGTGTTTACAAAAACTACAGGAACATACTGTTTAAGTTGTTGAAACAATGAAATAAGAACAAATAGTTCAGCGGAGAGTCCCTCTTCGGTGAATTTACTCACTTATTTGTACAGTCGCGTTCATATATAACCATTTCTGTGTATGTGTGTGTGTACATTGGGTTTGTCATGCAAAAATAAAAATTAGTAAGAGTTATTGTTGCCGTCATCAAAATTTTTCAAAAATATGTGATGAATAGTCAAATTGTAACTAGGGGAATGAAGACTGGTAAGTATTGACAAGGGTTGCGTAATATGCATGATGTTAATGAAGGATCACGAAGACAAGTGTCCAAGACAAATTATATAGTAGGTGAAAACAATAAATAAAAGGTTAGTTTAAAAATAGTGGTGTTACAAAAATGTCCTATGAAAAATACACAAGATAGTATTGATAACAAAATAGTTGAATTTGGAATAACATCTCTAGTTAGAAGGATGGGATGGAGAATTCTGTTCTCAGTACATTAATCAGGGTTCTCCATTCGAATCCTGAAGGCCTTGGCAATGCCAGGTATACAGAAGCTTACTGTTTTCGGGAGGCTTCTTCAAACTGTATAGATGACTTTGAATGAATCCGCCTTACATATTGAGTGACCAGTATTGAAGATATGTCCTATTATAGCACTCCTTATTGACCTATAGTTCCCTTTTCGTAGCCAAGTAGGTTAAAGTTCTTTGACTCTTCTAGATAAGACACTCATTGAACGACCAATATATCTTGCTCCACATCAGCAATTGAACTTGTAGATATACATAAAAGTGGTCAGATGGGATAATACCAGTCGTAATGTGTCAGCAAAGAATTTTGTTTTCAGGGCGTTAGATATTCTCTTCTTCAAGTTGTCATCCAGAAGATCACCTGTGAACAACACGTTCAGCAAAGCATCTTCTTCTTCTTTATTGGTTAAGACAACAATAAACATCCTTATTTTCAGATAAGTGGTTAAGGATAGTTAAGTCATCCAGGTTCGATTTTTCGCCGGCACACTTTTCTAAGCCCTCCTTGCTGATAGTAAGCTCAGAAAAAGTGGCAGGTTGAATGTGAGGCCACCAGTCCTACTGCATAAAAACAAAGTTATTGCTACTGAAAATTCATAGCTGTAAGTTATTTGTCCCACCCAGAACATAAAGGAGTACGTGATAATTTCTTACACCGAATTCATGCTTTTTAACACACTTTAAGGCAAAACGTTTGACATAAAACATCTAATTGATAAATTGTAAGCGTAAACTGGATTATTGGATAGTCTTTTTAGTTGAAATGAGTAGCTAAATACTACTATGTTTAAAACCATTGGTCTCCGAGTTATGCAAGTAAAAATCAGCCCATTTCTTAGTAGATCTCTATTTGATGTCAGTCTTTGACGATATCTGCCTTTAAATCTGTCATAACATCAAATGATTCCACTTCTCATTGGTCACTGACTAGGCGATGGACTGCCTAGAAGCTATGACTGATGGGGTCAGTCATATGAATTGTCAAGACAGACACTCATCGATGAAATCAGTTCATAAACTCTCTGTTGAATTCTTAGTGGTAATGTATTCGTCCTATGATTGAATGGCTCCAGCTTCAATTTTCGTTAGGATCTTCAATACATACAAATGAAGAGACTCAAAGTAGGCTCCTTGGCAGTAAACTGGACAAGAATCTGTCTGCCTAAATATTGACCTCAACTAAAATGAAAAGGAGAGCTAACCGCAAGTGCTGTTACAAATAAACAATGATTTGTATGGCGAAAATGATTGTTAGTAAGATTTCCCTGTCATCCTAGTTATCTTAGTAAATTGAAGAACGGAAGACCATTTCATTGAGAGTTTGTGTTGCTTATCTTGTGATGACCCACCGAATTTATCTTCTTCATTAACACCTTGAAAACGAAATATTTATGAATCTTTATTATATGTTCATTAGCCTATATATTTCGATAATTTCCACGACCCAAAATCAGTCTACCCCCACTCACCACTCAGCATATATGATGAGAAGTGAAGTTTGACCACGAACCGACAGCAATGGAGAACTGCTGAAGACTAGAGAGTATCGGATAGTTATGTCACCCTATTTTGGAAATGCCGGTCAGTATGAACCCGGGACCTTCAGGCGGTGACGCCAGCCTGGTTAGTTGGCTGTGAGAACAGGTACTCAACTATGCTATTCGCAGGAGGTGGACTGAAGTCTGAAACCGAAGGCGGGGCACTAATAGGTTAAAGGTCAACGAGTTCACCTTATAACTCATGAGTTCAATCCCTGCTAAATGCATTGGCGCCTACTGTTGAAGAGTCGCGACCTTGAAGGATGAAACAGCCATTCACTTCCGCCTGGCTTTCACTAGATTTCTAGCTTACGTTAATTCGTGATTATTCTTGAGAAATCAATCAATTGTCTGTAAATAAACACTTCAGAATGCTTAAAAGTTTCCCAGTCAGTAGTTAGCAATCTAGTGAAACCTGGCCGGTAGTGCGTTACTTTAAAGAATGCAGTACGTAGACAAAAACGATACATGGCGGATACTTGTTTCTAAGATAAACGTAGAGAGAAGTATAGTTTATTGTTTTTTTTTTTTTTGTAAATCAAAGCGCCTAGACTAAAAATGGGGTCGAAATAAGCAGAACAATCATGTTAACACAACTATTATACACAACATGACCTTATGTTTACCAAGAACGGACAGGCAAAGACAGATAAGCATCACGAGGTTATTTTATTAATTAAACAAAACTGGAACAACTAAGTTCATGATTGACTTTCTTTCTGATTCTAAATTCACATGTCTTCACTTAATTTAGCACAGCTTCTCAGATCATGAACTTACTTGATTAACTGAAGTGTATAAAATTGGCTTTTGTAACAGGGTTATCAGGTTACATTAATTGAACTGGTTAGAAGAACACACACTTATCATAATTAGCGTTATTATTCTAAACACTGTACATTAACTTAAAGTCCTTAAGATGAGTTGTAGTTATACATTAAAGGGTTTAATGGCTAATTATTATAACAGGTTAATAAGCATAGCTAAGAGTTTCTTCTTGAAAATAGAAATTAAGTTTAAGATGGACATTATCGACTAAATGGTATAAATTTGAAACTTCTTTATCATAGAAATTATTGTGTATTTACTGATGAAGTAGACAGATCTATATCACTAAAGTGTTTCACATTCACGAGATCATCTAATTATTTATGTATAATTACTTGTGTCAAAATCTGTAAAATAAGATGTTATCTGCCTTCCATGATTTCTAAAATCTCAAGCGGAGACATTTGGGTGACACATTTACTTCGTTGAAATTTAAGCATTAACCTGGTTGATTTAGTTACGGAGCTTTCATCAGACTTCTGGACAACATCTTCAGCGCAATTTTTAGCATACAGTGAATTAAATTTAAATTTTTCATGACTGATAGATTTGTGTCTCCCGGAAAGCTCCGCAACTAAATCAACCAGCTCAGAAAACACTACTAACTGCAATTCATCTATCTGAGCCTCAAATCTTATCTATTACTAAAGTGATTTGAGGATAATAGGTGATTGAAGGCAATCGACAGGAAGCCTTGGACCTAGGTTTCGTGCTAGTGGGCACTCACCAGTCAGCAAGGCGTATCTGCAATGTCGAAAGAACTCATGTCCCTTCTGAGATTCGAACCAGCGTCACCCATTGCCGCCTGCAGTCATAGACGTTAACGCTGAGCTATTCGGGCGCACGATTCGCCTCCTGTAGGACTGTATTGGTTGTTTTTGATTGAACACTAGTTATGTCGTTCAGAATGAATTCTACCAGTCAGGTTTGCAGTGTGGTAACAATTCTAGGTGGCTTGCCATCATGGCGTACTTAATGAATTTCGGATTTGATCAAGAGATGACGTCAGTCAGAGAACCTTTGGAGACCAGCACTGGAGTAAGAGACAGTTGTTTCGTCTCAGCTCTGGGTTCTTCAGCAACACACACTCACTGGAGTAGGAAGGCAGGACTTTCCGTTTACATGGCGAGCTGGTAAACCATCCGGCCACTACAAGCCGACTTCACAACCTATGAATGCCAACTTCTGCCAACTCGCGATATTAGTAGCGCGACCAATAGCCAATGTCATAAGTGGGCAACTAATCTCTCACCTGAAGACTCTCAAACTAGGAGAAAATGGATGTCCAGTATTTCCGGACTTTCTAGTTCTTCTTTAGCTGATGTCAACTCATGACCAAACCTCTCACCAATCAAATTCCTGATTTGATGATAATAGATGGTTGCAAGCAATCGACAGGAAGCCTTGGACCTAGGTTTCTTGCTAGTTGGCACTCACCAGTCAGCTTTGAGTTACTGATATTAGATGCTTAGAGGCAATCGTCAGAAAGCCTTGGACCTCATTTTTTCACATATAAACTCAGCAAGATATTAGTATCTATAAGCTAGTATAACATTTTGATAGTTGTCTGAGCTTTGATTTATCCTATGCAGAATCTGCAAAGATAAGTTTGTTTGAGTGTCTACCTATATAATCAGGCCAGGAGGCTAACCAATAGGGCAAAGTAATGTAAATAAACGAAAATATAATAAAGAATAAAGAATCCAAAGCCTTTGTAGTACTGTCATGTAAAGAAGGGACATCAGATGTCTTAGGTAGGATTTTTCATAAGGCTGGAATTAGGATGTTATTTAAACCTACCAACGCATTACAGAGATAAACTTTGTCGGCTTAAGGACACGATAAACCCAACTGCGGTAAATAATATAATTAAGAAAATACCATGTAATGATTGGCAGGCGAATTACATAGGTCAAGCTAGTAGATTGGCAACTCGTGATTGGAGTTAATTAGATTATCGAAATATATGCATTTAGCTACAT